TATGTGCACTGAGTGTCATATATTTGGTCATTCTAATTCCGCTTGTTTGAATGCTATTTCAAAATCTGATACTAATGTGACTAATACGAATGAGCAATCCACTTCTGGCAAGAAAATTATGATAGATAGCGAAGGGTTTCAGACCCGTGTCCTCAAGCAAAGCCAAAAACCTAAGGCATCGATACCCATAGTGAGGAAGGAGTACAAGAAGAAGGAGACCCGCATGCCTACATCGAACGGGAAGCAAGTGGGTGCAAAGATGAAAGAAAAGATGACGGCCCCCCACGTCAAGAAGCTCAAAAGGTGCAAAGATCGAACCCTTCCCCAAGGGTTCTCCCCCCCATTTCAATCCCCCCCATGGGTTTAGCCCCTAGCCCCCCACCCTCCCCTCCCCGGCCACCCATCCTATCCCGTCTATCCCCCAAGTCTTCTAACCCACCCCCTCATCCCGGAAGCATTCCAAGACTCCCACTCCCTCTTCTAACCGCTTCTCCATTCTTTCTGACTCGTCTCTTCCTAGAGATCCTGGGTCTTCCTCTTCTTCCCTCCCTCCTTCCTCTGCTCCCCTTGAGATCGAGGATGATCCCCTCGATCAGGATGACCTCCTGGATGAGGTTGATATGATTGAGGTTGAGTCGGATGATGGCGACACCGCCTGATTCGTTGCCCTTGATTTGCCCCTTCCCCAGGTTGATTCGAGCAGATGGACTCCACCCCTTCCCCCGTTTCCCCATGACGAGCTTTGCCTCGTGGAATACTCGTGGTTTCTGTAATCTCTCCCATCAGAGAGCTATGAGAGATCTTATCCGAGTCTCGAACCTCCAAATCTGTGCTTCTCTTGAGTCGCGTGCTTCTATTTCTAGTCTTCCTTCTATCTGTGAGAGAGTTTTTGGGTCTTGGTCCTGGGCCTCTAATGGTTCCCTTTGCCTTAGAGGTACCCGTATTATTATGGCATGGAACCCCGTCTATGTTGACATGATGCTCCTAAATGCCACCGATCAGGTGATGCATTTTCAGGTTAAGATACGTGACTCCTCTAAGATTATTTTCCTTTCTGTGGTGTATGCGGATAATTACCACCTTGCCCGTCGCCAATTATGGGCTTCTCTTAAGGGTCATAAACTTGTCGTTAAGGACACCCCATGGTTCATCATGGGTGATTTCAATGTTGCCTTTGACCCGAAGGACAACTCTTCTAGCATCTCGGGCCCTAATCGTGGTATGAATGATTTTTGTGAATGTGTCCGACACCTTGAGGTGGAGGATATCAATTTCAAGGGTTTGTTCTTTACCTGGACTAAAAACCCTAATGGTACGGGAGGTCTTCTCAAAAAGATTGACCGTGTCTTGGGCAATCTTCACTCCCTTGCTCACTTCCCGTCTGCGTCTGTTGTCTTTCTCCCCTATCGATCATCGGATCATAGTCCGGCGGTTCTTACTCTTCCTTCTCGTTCGCCTCGTAAACCCAAACCGTTTAAGTTTCCTAACTTTCTCACCTATTAAGAGTCTTTTAAGACTATTGTTTCTTCCAATTGGTGCCTTGATCTTACTGGTCGTGAGATGTATAAGATTTTTCAAAATCTTAAAAATCTTAAGGGACCCCTGCGTAAGTTGCTTAATGATCAGGGTAATCTTCATTCCAAAGTGTCTAAGTTGCGGCTTGAGCTTGACAGGGTCCAGACCGCTCTGGATTGTGATCCTGACAATGGGGCCCTCGGAGAGGAGCAATGTGGGTATTTATCTGCCTACAATAGTGCTTGCCTCAATGAGGAGCGGTTCCTGAAGCAAAAAGCCAAGATTAATTGGCTCCGTGAAGGAGACCGAAATTCTTCTTTTTTCCATAAGTCGATCAAGAGTCGTATCAGCAAGAATCGTATTGATACCATTCAAAATGCTGACGGTCTCTGGGTGTCTAATGATGAGGTTCCCCAGCTTTTTGTCTCTCACTTTGAAAACTTCCTCGGTACGTCTCAGCCCTCCCTTCCTATTCATAACCCTGCCTTCCTATTCACCAGAAAGCTTAATGCCAATCAAGCCGCCATGATGCTTGCTCCTATCTCTGACTCAGAGATCAAGCAGGCCCTATTCCAGATGAGAGATGATAAAGCTCCGGGGCCTGACGGTTTCACTTCCAAATTCTTCAAAGCCGCTTGGAGTATTGTTGGCAGGGATGTGTGCTCTGCTGTTCGTGAGTTCTTCACGAATGGTGAGCTTTTAAAGTCGCTTAATAGCACTATTATGGCCCTTATCCCCAAGTCGGCTGCCCCCTCTCATGTCACCGACTTTCGTCCTATAGCTTGCTGCAATGTCATTTATAAAATCATTAGCAAGATTATTGTTGATCGCATAAAAGATCATCTCTCCTTTCTGGTTGATCTGAACCAGTCTGCTTTTATTCTGGGTCGTCTCATTACTGATAATATTCTGCTCGTCCAGGAGCTCATGCACGGGTATCATAAGCAACGCCCCCCCCCCCTGCTGTGCCTTTAAAGTTGATATCAAAAGGCTTATGATACTGTTGATTGGCATTTCCTTCGCACTGCCCTGTTCGGCTACAGCTTTCCCCTTACCATGATTAAATGGATTATGTCATGCATTTCCACGGCCTCTTATTCGGTCAGCATTAATGGAAACCTCCATGGATATTTTAAAGGGTGTCGTGGTTTGAGGCAGGGTGATCCTCTTTCTCCCTATCTCTTCACCCTGGTCATGGAGGTTCTTAACCTCTTGACCAAAAGAAAAATGAATGAAACGGGCACCTTTTCCTTTCATCAGAATTGTGAGGAGCTGAAGATCACCCATCTTTGATTTGCTGATGATCTCCTCATATTCTGGCATGGTGATAGTGAATCTGTCCGTGTCATAAAGGATTCCCTTGATGAGTTTTCTAGTGTTTCTGGTCTCTTTCCGAGTCCGGCCAAAAGCGAGGCTTTCTATTGTAATGTTGGCCAGTACACTAAAAACTTGATTCAGACCATTATCCAATTCCCGGAGGGTTCCCTTCCGGTCCGCTATCTTGGTGTCCCTCTTATCACTACTCGTCTCTATCATCGTGACTCTAAAGGCCTTGTTGACAAGTTTAAATCCAGACTCAATGACTAGAAAAATAAGTCCCTTTCCTTTGTCGGTAGGTTGCAGCTCATTCTCTCGGTCCTATCTTCTATGCAAATCTATTGGGCCTCTATCTTCGTGCTTCCGATGTCTATCTCTAAGGAGATTGAGCAGCTCATGCGGGGCTTTCTGTGGTGCCATGGTGAGCTCAAAAGGGGGAAGGCTAAGGTCTCCTGGAAGACTGTCTGCCTCCCCAAATCTCAAGGCGGGCTTGGTATAAAGAGTCTTGCCAGCTGGAATCTTGCCCTCATGGCCTCCCATACTTGGAGGATCCTTACCAATAAGGATTCTTTATGGGTTAAATGGATCCACTCCTACAGGCTGAAAGATCGAAACTTCTGGGATGCCCCGATACGCAGTGATGTTGGTTGGGGTTGGAGGAAGATCCTGGGCATGCGGGACAAGATAAGAGACTCCATTGTCTCCAAGATTGGCGATGGCGCCTCCACATCAGCCTAGTATGATAACTGGCACCCTGCTGGCCCCCTCTACCAGCACACCTCTTCTCGTAATATTATCAATTCTAATCTTTCTCTCTCTGCTCCTGTGAAGGATATCGTCTTCCAGGGTATTTGGACTTGCCCTCTCCTGAGGGACAGCCCCAACCCTTTAATCCGCAATTCCCCTCTTCCTGTCCTTTCCCCGGCTACCCCTGATAAACTCCTCTGGAGAACCAGGGATGGCCGTCTCACTTCATTCTCCGTTCATGAGGTCTGGCTATCCCTCCGTCCAAACGAGCCTGATGTCTCATGACATCATATGGTCTGGTTTTCTCAAAATATTCCCATACATGCTTTTATTATGTGGGTTTCCCTCAAGCAGCGTCTCAAGACGCATGATAAGCTTCGGTTCTTGGAGGGCCACCCCAACCTGTCTTGTGCTTTCTGTCAAAACGGGCCTGACTCGCATTCTCATCTTTTCTTTGAGTGCCCGTTTCCTAATCAGGTTTGGAATGGATTAAAGCCTAAGCTTAACCTCACTGGTGTCCCGGACAACTGGGTTGATATTATTGGTATGTTCCAGCAAGCCACCAAAGGAAAGACCGTCTGGTCTATTATTCATAGATTAGTGTTAGCTGGGACTGTCTACCACCTGTGGCAGGAAAGGAATAACCGTATCTTCAAGAATAAAAGAAGATCGAATATTATGGTGGTGAAGACGATTACCGATGATGTCCGGTCCAGGCTCCTAAGCCTGACTTTCAAGCCCTCTCCTAATGTTGTCCGGGCTCGGCTTGCCTGGAACCTCCCTTAGCCGTCTGTCTTCTTGTGTTGTCTGCTGATGGTGTGTGCTCCTTTGCTTTCTTGGTTCTCTCGGTGCGATCTAGGGTGTGCCTGTTTTTAGGCCCCTTTTCCTTCCCTTGCAGTTTTCCCCCGTTTGTTTCCCGGTCTTGGCTTGGTTGGGCCCTTCCTTTGTGGTTGGCTTCTTTTTCTTTCTCTCCTTCTCTTTCTTTCTTCCTCTTCCCTCTTCTCTTCTTTTCCGTTTCTTCCTTCTCTCCTTTTCCCTCTTTTCTCTTCTTTCTTCTTCTCTGTCTCCCTCTTTCTTTTCCCTCGGGGTGCCTTGGATTCTGGTAGTTGAGGTTTCCTCCTACCCGAGCGCTTCATTGTTGCGGTTTTAGCGTTTTAGTGTTTTATCTTGATATGGAGGGGTCTCCCCCCTCCCTATAAAAAAAAACATCGTTTTATGTGATATATTTATATTTTGTAAGTTGGGGTTTTGGTTTTTATGTCCCCCTTTGTATTTTTCATGTTAATTAATAAAATTCGACCTAAGGTTGAAATGCCTAGCTTGACTAGGTTCCAAACCCTTTAACAATATTTCATCTTTCGTCATTTCATTTGCTTAAAAAATAGTCAGAGGCATTTAGTACCTTCGGGTCTTGGCTTTGGAAAAATCCCAATAAAACGTTGCCATATGATTGTCCGAACTCACCAAATTATGTTCTTTGCAAACCCATATAGTCATATAAAACAAACTCGCAACATCAAAATATTCAAAGTCGACATTTAGAACGCTAGCAATACGGCGATCAAACACCACGAGATCCAGCACCACGACATTCATGAGAAACAAAACCAGTACTCAAGCATCATCATGGCCCATCAATGCAAGCAACATTTGCTCATAGTCTCCAGACGTATCTCCAGCAATTGCTTTATCCAATGGCACACTGTTCCTTCGCTGGTATTCTTCTGCAATACGCTTCAGATCGACCTCAGCACGAGTGGTGATCACACGGGTCAAAGCCCATTCATCCGTCCCTAGTTTGTTGATTGCCAGCCGCAGCACCTTCTCGTAGTATTTCTCTGGAACAGTCAAGCACTTGATTGTAGATCTTAAAAGTTTGAGATACTCATCTTTAGGATCGGCTTTCAGGTCCTGCAACATGATGAGATATGTTCGGTATGTAACTCATGAGAAAATGGAGTCCAGACACGAAATATTTTGGAGTTGTTTAGATTCCAGACTCGAAATATTTCACAATTTTTATATAGACAATATTATGTGACTCATGGGTTAAATCTAATATATCCAAGATTATTTGGAACATATAAAAAGGGTGGTTGGCAGGACAGCTTGTGTGTATCTCGACTAATTTCATGGGAGCTTGAATATATGGTTTTAAACAAGTAAATAGGAGGGAGGTATATAATACCTTGGTGATAGCTTTTCCAAATTGATCGTTGTATTGGTTGAATGTTGCATTGAGTTGAGCTTTGCTCCTTGTTGTAAGAATCCTGATCAGCTCATCATCGTTGTAAGCTTTGTCATTGATCTTCTGATTAAAGGTTTTAGCCTCTGATTTCGCTAAACTCATGTTCACCTCATCTCCCTCATACCGAAAAGCACTCACAAGAGGAACTAAAAGCTGTGGGTGGGAAAAAAATAATCAATAATTAACCGTACTAATGACCGATAACATACCCTAAAAATTGCAAAATAACACTATTTGAAGTTGTGTAGCAGGTGTTAGTGATAGAGGCTATAAGACCTTGGCTCTGATACCGAACCCATCAAGGAAAGAAGGAAGGTTCCTATATATTGAAGTGAAAAGGTCCACCTCTAATGTGGGTTACATATGGAAATTAGTACATTTCATGATTTAACATCGAGTACAAGCTAATGGTCGGCTAGGGCCCATAACACCTCCAACAAACGTTAGATGGGCACAAATGTCCCAAATTTATAGGCTCTGCTATTATACCATATAAATATGTGGAACCCTAAAATTAATAGTCTCCGGGCTCCACTATATATTGAAGTAGAAAGGTGGGTAACATATGAAACTTAGTAAATTTCATGATTCAACATCAATTTATGTACAAGCTTAATTATGGAGGTATAGACCTTTCGGAAATCCCCAGATGTGTGATGTGCAACGTCTTCCTCGATGGATTTCTTGTTTTTAGCATGATATGCCTTCCTCACACAAAATAGGTGATCTGAAGACCTAGAACAAGCAATTTCCATCAGAACCCAATTGCTTGCAGTCAGTTTCTTTGTTGCTTCATTCACCAAATATGCATCACGCTCGGTTGGCTCCAGGGTCCATAACATAACTGCCCGCTGTTTAAACAAGTTAAAAAATGCATATTTTGTAGTTATATAGATTCCTATTCCACAAAGCTAAATAATCCCAGTTTAACACAATCGAAACAGAAGATATCATGATTCAAAACCAAACCAAACCAAAACAAATTAAATGTCTCGGTATATCCTGCTCCTGCTCAAGAGCAGGGTCTGGAGACAAGATGTATGCAGATCTGACCTTTGACCCAAAGGACAGAGTGGCTGTTTCCTTGAAGATCTCATGATTCAACTAACCTGAAAATCACTGGAAAGCTCAGAGTTCAAATCTTTGAGGAGATCTTCGCCATATGCTTCATAGTATGTTTCTTGAATCTTTTTGCGCTGAACTCCATTTCTATGGGCCAGAATCTGAATGATTAATGCCTCATTTGTTCCCCAACCTACAAATAAGTTGATTGGGATCCCTCGGATTAATTTGAGTGTAACAAAAATTCATTAATTTAATAAAACTAACAGTTGGGTGAAGCATCTCTTCTATGACATTCTTGAGCTATTTATAATACTATAAAATTACAAATGATGATTCATAATGATCTCATTATGTAATTCTGCATAAGAAGAATGATTGATGATCACTAGAGAAATTCTGAATCTTAAACACATGGTTCTAATTAGTTACAAAAAGCAGATCAAAATCAAAACATGAAAGTCAGAAAGTGTGCTTGCTAAATCATCCAAATATTGGTGCAATGTTAGAAACATATGCCCAAAAGCCCAAATGTGAAGTGCTCTTTGGTTATTGATATAGTACATAAATTTGCAATTTTTATGTTGTTGAGAAGGAAATTTGTAAAATGGAAAACAGATCTAATCGAAGTGCTATCCGTTGATTAACTAACTAAAAACCAACTAAAAGCATCAAAAAATGGTTAACTTTTTGAAAGATGTTGTCAATACAAAAAGTTTTTCTATAAAATTAGTTCAATGGAAAAAGTGGTTTTCTTTTCGCTTTCAATGATTTGTTTATAATGTATGTTTATATGGTGTTCATTATGTTTTTTTCTGATAAAAGTCACATGCTTGTAACCTTAATTTTGAGAATGAGATAGTAATTTTATTACTTTTTACATTGTTACATGATAGGAGTTGTATTGATGGACAAATATGGTATCTCCAACACATTCTTTATAATTTCTTTAAAAATAAAGAATCAAAAGTCAAATTTCTAACAACAATTACATTTAACTCGAACAAATTCGCTATTTTAGAGATTTCAATATTCATTATATTATTAAAACATTCTATAAACTTATCGTCCAAATACAATGTTTAAAAAGAATTTATATAAAATAATAATAATAATTCAATCTCATGGTGAGAATTAATAAAAAAAATTAATTCTCCCTCCACACATCAAAGTTTTGGAGAATTCTCTAAACTTAGAATTTTCTCTATTTTATGTGAAGATCAAAAGGAATTTGTTATAACAAAATAGAGAACAATCGTAAATCTCACATCAAGTTTTCGATGTCCATGACATTCCACATGAAATTACATGCTATTTTTTATACAACTTTAATTATACTAATCACATATTTCAAAAATCATATCAGCAACTATTAAATAGTAAACTAAATTAATGACATAAAGTTCTAATAAACAATATATAGGAATTCCCAATACACTTTTACATTTAGAAAGGAGAGTTGCTTTAGCAATGTATGTGATAGTGCCATATAGATCGGAAAATTCGTGTCTTGACAATCCAAGGCAACATTAATTTTTACAAACCATGGTGATTCAGTGGTTAAAATTGAAGTAATCCTATTACTAAAATCAAGAAACTACTATGGTCATTATGATGTGTACCATTTTGAGGTTGTTTGTATGTATGTCATATGGTACAAAGAAAAAGATCTCTATTTGGCCGGCTTTTGTTTATACCTATGGTTTCTTTTTATGAATCAAATGATTATTCTTTATAAAGGGAGAGCTTAGGCCCACTAGACATGCTCTTGTTTGGATTTTACTCAACATTGTCCAGGGGGTTTTCACTTTTAAATTTGCATCCTGAATTTCTGATCATGGTTTGCTCACACATGCATCAATGGGTCCAGTGTTTCACCTCTCCTTTTCCCCATGTTAGTGCGGGAGAAAAAGGGTATTAGGATTAACCATTAAGATTTCAACACAATACTCATCATATAAATTATATTTTCTGGACGTGTGACTGAAATCCTAATCCGATTAATCACAGATCAACGGAACCAAAAATTTCGCGTCAAAGTTTATCATCAGAAACGCATCAATGATCAACCGACTATACAAGGGATATGCAATTCAGGCATCAATGCGAATCCTATGTAACAAAAAACGATCACACATATATTTTAACATTTATACAAATCATAGGACATGATCGGCGTAAAAGGATTCACGGATCAACGGCAATTCAAGAAGAAAATCATTCAAAACAGAATAACATGTATGATTCCGATGATCGGAGACAAAAACAACACAGATCGGAGATTAAAGAAAAAGAAACAACACAGATCGATCCAACAAACATTCAAAATCGAAATGTACAATAAGAGGATATTGTAATAATTAAGACGATAACTACCTGCAAAAGCTTTTTGGAGTTGCTCACAGTCCTCAGAGGGAGGAGGAACGGTAGATGGTACCTTAAGTGTCGCCATTGTTGCTCTTCTTCTTCTTCCTTCAGCTGTTTGGGTCTATGATCTGTTGCAAATTCCAAATAACGGTACACCAATAAATAACCCACCCAACACGCAGCATCACACGGTATTAATGTTTTTCCTTTTAAATATATCGAACGGGGATACGTGCTCGTCGTGTATTTTTTTTCTTTTATTTTAACCGGTGCTCGGCAACGTGCAACTCATAACACATGTCAAGTAATATACAAAAAATTATGAACCACATTAATATCCTTATACTTTAAAATTGAAATTACTAATTTTTCATATTGTATTTATAACTCTTCCAATATTTTAAGGCATCCTTCTTGTTTCATCTACTTAATTGTTTTTCTGGAAGTTTTTTTTCTCATTAATATGGATTAAAATTCAACTCAAATTTGTGTAAATATTAAATTAAATGTGTCACACCATCTTATAGCATTATATATTAATTTAATTAATTGATTAATTTAACTTTTAATATAGATTTTTTTTAAAAAGATGATTAGTCAAAAATCCTATGTTAAGAGGGTCAACCAAATAAGTTAAGCACCATGAGTTTAGAGAATAATTCAAGGGGAGTCAGCCCTATGAATTACCACAGAGACATCCCAATCTTGTTTTATATATATATATATATATATATATATATATATATATATCATTTAATGTCAATCTTTTATCTACCTATCAATATGGAATAGACAAAACTAATCAGAATTTAAGATTAAATAATACTCGATATTAGGGTGTCACATTGATGGTTGTGTTTCTTACTTTTAAATATAGAAAGAATAAAGATTATATAGATAATTAATTTTTAATATTGATTAACTCTTCTTGCAAAAAGAGAGTTGGCCAAAATGAACCTACCCCATGTGTTCGGAGGGTCGGCCAAAATGCTCTAACCACAGGTGTTAAGAGAACCAACTAAAAGGAACCAACCTCATGAGTTGTCACAAAGGCATCTGGGCTTCATTTTACATATCCAACATTTTTGTTAATCTTTCAACTCTCAATCAGTGTGGGATATAAAAAACTCAATCACAATTTAAGATTGAAGAATATTCTATTATTAGGGTGTCGCATCAACGGTTCCGCTTCTTACTTTCAAAAACATATTAAAATTATCTCTTCAATTAATATTTAGTATAAATTAATTTTGTCACAAAAAAAGGTTGGCCAAAATGAGTCAACCGCATATGTTTTGAAGTTCAGTCAAAATGATCCAACCACGTGAATTTTGACAATTGCTCGTGAGTTTAGACAATTGCTCCAAACATTTAACGATAAACATGGCTTATATTGCCAAATGAACCTTTTAATTTTCAAAGGGAACTCATATTTCTCTTATATACTCATTTTTCTCAATGATGTATCAATTTCTAATCAATGTGGATACCAAAATCCAACCACAGTGCAAGAATTTTAAAATATTTGGTTTTAATGATGCCACATTATTATTTTCTAGTTTTCTTTTGTATTGATATATTAATTTTTTTATATAGACAACTTTTTTGCAAATAGATGGCTCAATTCTTAGGGTGACACATCATTTCTTGTGAATCTTACTTATTTATAAAGAGGGCCTTATATATATAAACATATACATATTTTTTTATAAAGGTGACCTTTTTGCAAACAAAGGGTTGGCCAAACTGAACCAACACTTCATTTTGTTCAAAATTTTCAACTATTCACCAATGTGGGATATCTCAAACTCAACCATAATTCACCAACACCTCAATACTCAATTCTCATGATGTCACCTCAATACTCTTGGTTCCTCCATTAATGTATATATGTATGTATATATATATATATACAGATTCACCAACACCTCAATATTCAATTCTCGTAATGTCACCTCAATACTCTTGGTTCTTCCTTTAATATCTATATATACCCTATGATTCAAACTCCATGAATCGACACAAATGCACCAATCCATATGCCACCTCATCACCACAAGGGTTTAAATTTTATAATATTCATGGTGTCACCTCATCACCCCAAGGTTATATATATATATATATATATATATATATATATATATATAATTTAACACTATAATTTCTACCATTTGGTTTGATTGGTTTCCAACCATGGTTATAGATTTCAAAAGTGTCATCCAAAGAAAGACAACCCTATGAGGCAAACCTCATATTTGACACATAGACATCCCATTTATATATATATATATATATATATATATATATATATAAAGATATAATAATATAATATAATTAATTTTGCACTATAATTTCTACCATTTGGTTTGATTGGTTTCCAACCATGGTTACAGATTTCAAAAGGGTCATCCAAAGAAAGACAACCCTACGAGACAAATCTCATATTTGACACAAAGGCATCCAATCCACCTTTCTTATACACTTCATTTTGTTCAAAATTTTCAACACTTCCCAAATGTGGGATATCTCAAACTCAACCATAATTCAACAACACCTCAATACTCAATTATCATGATGCCACCTTAATACTCTTGGTTCTTCCTTTAATATATATATATATATATATATAGATATAGATAGATTAAATAAGACAATACAAGAAAAATGACCTTCACAGAAGGTATTGTTTTGTACTTAAAAGTCGTAAAAGTTTATCTAAAGCCTTTAGATAACCTTTTCAATTTTGTCAAACAGCTTCTCTGTGTGACGGTAGGTGAAGGTTTTAGAGAGGGTTTTCGGAGGGTGTGTTTTTGTTAGCCTTTAGAGACGCCTAATTGAGGCTTTAGATACACTTTTAAAACTTCTCTAAAGGTTAGTCAACTTTTTATTCAAAGCTTCTCTAAAAATATATATATTAGTGACACTTTTCAAGTATTTGTGACGGTTTGTAAGAGTTACTAAAAGATACTTTAAAGAAGATAATGAAAAAGCTTCTCTAAAGATATTAGCTTTAATGACACTTTTAAAAAACCTTTTCTAAAGTTCTAATTAGTTACGGTTACGAAATATTCTCTAAATATGATATTTAGATACACAAACTTAAAATCTTCTCTAAAAATTATCTTTCGTCATACTTTTAAAAAATTAATTCCTTCTCTAAAAAATATATTATTATATATATATATGTATATATATATGTATGTATATATATATATATATATGTATGTATGTATAGGGGTGGGTTCAAATACAAACCACTCAATTTGTAAATACCGTGAAAACCTCATTCAACCAATCATAATTTTTCATTTTGTTCATTTTTTTTTGTAATTA